GCGGGGAGCCCAGTGTAGGGCTCGATCCCAGGACCCTGGGATTATGACCTGAGCCAAAGGCAGACGCTTAACAAGTGAGCCACCCAGGCGCCCCATGTGTGTGTGTGTTTTTCTTTTAAGATTTTATTTATTTATTTGACAGAGAGACAGCAAGAGGGAACACAAGCAGTAGGAGTGGGAGAGGGAGAAGCAGGCTCCCCACTGAGCAGGGAGCCCAGTGCAGGGCTCGATCCCAGAACCCTGGGATCATGACCTGAGCCGAAGGCAGATGTTGAACCAGCTGAGCCACCCAGGCGCCCCTCATTTTGGTTTTATACTTATGATCTTACTGACTAATAAAGTTTTAAATTTATTATTTCTCCCTTAAAGAAATAAAATATAGAATGGATTTTCACATCATTTTGTGTTCTTTAGTTTTAGTTTGGTTAGCTTTTGTTAAAAATTCTGGACCTAGAATTATATATGTATGATTTCTCTATCATATGAAAAATCCAGGTTTAAAGTAAGGAAGAACTTAGTCACATTGTGATTTTAGAAAGGGTCAGAAATGATAGTTTTATTTTTGTCATCAATTACAGAAACTGATACATTTATGAAAATAAGTTTTCTTACATTTTGTTTTCCAAGAATAACCTTCCTTTATCTTGCATGAGAAAATTGTTTCTAATATTAAGAAGACTGTGAGTCAGCAATAAAGTGGTCTAGACATTCAGGGAAACCCTACCCAGGCGTGGTTAGCTGTTACAAAGCTAAGAATTTCTTGGGAGCCTAGAAATGCTAAGAAATCTTTCCACAGGGGTAAGCACTCTGTAGCGAATTTTTACATTGGGGCTGTTTCCCAACCCTGTTTTAATGGACTCTACGAGAGAAAGAGGTTGTACTCAAACAGGGTGGAAACAGACTCTTGTATTAAGTGCCTAACAGCAGATTTTATACAAGTAGTATTCTAGGTGGTAGGGATATTTATCTGTTATGACTTTGGCTCTGGCCGGAAAATCTTAGATATGAAACAGGAAAAAACCCCCCAAAGAGTAACTGCTCTTGAGTTCATAACCATAAGCTTGTGTACTATCTGTGTGGTTCAGAAAACTCCAAGGCAACAATGTAAGTCCAGATTTGTAATGATATAATTATCAGACAAAATTGACCATAAATCATGATAGAGGGTCAATACATGTTGATAAAATGTTCAAAACTGTATTATGAAAACTGTATGAAAGCAAACGTGTTAAAATATACCCCACTAAAATCTGTTCTTAACAGTTTAATATCTGATGCATCCTCTAGCCAAGGACAATATATTAAATGAATTTTTGGAACTAGGACGTGGAATGGGAGCTTGCTCCATCCATTCCCCACATTGAGTGGTATTGTATTGCTTCCAGGAACAGTGCGCCCTCTCGGAGGGGGAAAAAAAAATACACCCCACTAAAAGAAAAAAAAGCTTAAAAGAAATACCCTGCTCCTTGGGAGCCTGCTTCTCCCTCTGCTTCTCTCTCTCTCTCTCTCCCCCTCTCTCTCTCTCCCTCTGTCTCTCATGAATAAATAAATAAAATCTTTAAAAAAAAAAAAAAGAAAAAAACCTTTTTGCAGCTTAGTAGCCACTGAGTATCTAATGCTCAAATAGTACTCTTTTTTCTTTTTTAATTTTTTAAAAAAGATTTATTTGAGAGGGAAAGAGAGAGGAGAGAGAGAGAGCACAAGTGCACAAGAGCAGGGGGAGGGAGAAGCAGACTCCCTGCTGAGCAGGGAGCCCCATGCAGGGCTCAATCCTGGGGCCAGGGATCATGACCTGAGCCGAAGGCAGACACCCAACTGACTGAGCCACCCAGGCACCCCTCAAATAGTATTTCTTGACAAACTCAAGCATGCATATGTTTGGTTGCACGGGAGTAATATGGTATGCTTTTTTTGAATTTTCTGACTCATATGCTGAACATATGAGGAGTATACATTGAAAAAGAAGAGATAAAAAAGAAAAAAACAACCACCATGGCAGTCCTTTGTATAATGGAAGAGCCTTTGAAACATTAAAAAAAAAAAATCAAATTATGTATCTCATTTAAAAAATTCTTGTCATGCATTAGGAGGAGCCTTTCTTAATGTGAAACACACTGGTTTTTTCCTCAGGATTTCCAGCCTTTGTTCATCAATACTAACAATATGGATCTTTAAATACTGTTTCCAGAATATCATAGAAAAAGTTATTATACATGAATTTTATGGTGCTAAATTACAAAATAGGATATTAATATTCTCAGTAAGGAATGAACATTTCTCTTACCTTTGGTCCATTTTTGCTTATTTTTATCTGAATTTTTAAAATATATACGAAAATGCAAAGCGCCAAACGGAGGCAGGGCAGTTTTGAAGCACTTTATGAAATAAACTAGGTATCAAGACTTAATGCAAAGCTACATAATTAAGACAGTGTAGCATGTACACATAATTCAATAAACCATCCAATGGAATAGAGCTAGATATAGACCTATATGTTCATGGATTTTTGATTTACTATTAAAATGGTACAACAGTAGTCTCCCTCTTATCCATGGATCCAGTTACCAGTGGTCAGTTGCTGTCCAGAAGCAGATGATGATCCTTCTGATGTATTGTCAGAAGGTCAATAGTAGCCTAACCCTACGTGGAAGCCTGTGTCATTCCCCTCACTTTATCTCATACACAGGCATTTTATCCTCTCATACCATCGTAAAGAAAAGGAGGATGAGTATAGTACAATAAGACATTTTGAGAGAGAGAGAGAGAGAGACCACATTCACGTATCTTTTATTACAGTATGTTGTTATAGTTGTTCTATTTTGTTATTAGTTATTGTTGCTAATCTTTTACTGTGCCTAAAGTATAAATTAAACCTTATCACTGGTTGTGTAGGTATTGGAAAAAAACATAGTATATATAATTTTCAGTACTGTCGACAAGATTTCAGGTATCCATGGGGATCTTGGAACATTTTTCGCAGATAAGGGGAGACAACTATATAGACAGTGGGGAAAGGTAATCTTTTTGATAAATTGGCAGGACAGTTAGATATCTGTTTCTCTCTGTTTCTCTTTCTTTCTCTGTCATACAGAGGGGGCAGATATCTTCAATACTTTCATTTGACAAAGTGTCCATATACAGAATTCATAAAGAAGTATAAATTAATGAGGAAAATGGCAAATATGAAATAGAAAAATGGTCCAAAAGAGGGTACCTATGTGGTCATAAATATATGAAAAGATGCATGTTAAAAGTCCAGTGTGAGGGGCGCCTGGGTGGCTCAGTTGGTTAAGCGACTGCCTTCGGCTCAGGTCATGATCCTGGAGTCCCGGGATCGAGTCCCACATCGGGCTCCCTGCTCGGCGGAGAGTCTGCTTCTCCCTCTGACCCTCTTCCCTCTCGTGCTCTCTATTTCTCATTCTCTGTCTCTCAAATAAATAAATAAAATCTTTAAAAAAAAAAAAAAAAGTCCAGTGTGATACCACATACCCACTGGAGTCACAGAGTCCGAGAGAGTGACAGTAACAGGTGTTACAGAGGTTGCAGAATAGGCTTTGTAGAGGTTGAGTTGTGTAGACCGTATCACCAAAATCCCTATTCTTTTGGTTTCTGAGTTGAGTCCTGCTAAAAGAGGCATCAGCAGGAAGTCAGAAGGTAGAAGAGTGTGAAGTCAGGGGTATTTATTTCCTTTACTCATTCCCTGTGAGGTCATGTTGATTGGTTGCCTCCTTCTCCCAAGGCCACTGTTTCTGTGAAAGGCCCTTATATATCTTTTCTTTCTAAATTTTGGTTTACCACTTCCAAGGTCTCCTTTAGGTCAAGGTTTGGTAATGACTCCCTGCTGTTGTTGTCCCCAGAGAATTGTACTCTCTGTAGTTGTTCTTCCTAAATCTTGTCCAATCTTTATGAATCACCCACCCTTCATTAAACTCTTAACCCAATGCAAGTATGTTATCTCCTGCAAGGACTTTGATAATACTCTTAGGATAAAAAAAATGAGCAGTGTAGAACAGGGTTTTTATAACCTTGGCACTATTGACTTTTTTGTCTGGATAATTCTTTTTTGTCAGGGGCTCTCCTATACAATGCAGAATGTTTAGCCACAGCCCTAGCCTCTACTCACTAAATACCAGTAATACTCCTGCAGTAATGATAATTTAAAATGTCTCCAGACAGGGGCACCTGGGTGGCTCAGTCGTTAAGCATCTGCCTTTGGCTCAGGTCATGATCCCAGGGTCCTGGGATCAAGCCCCGCATTGGGCTTCCTGCTCTGCGGGAAGCCTGCTTCTCCCTCTCTCACTCCCCCTGCTTGTGTTCCCTCTCTCACTGTGTCTCTTTCTGCCAAATAAATAAATAAAATCTTTAAAAAATAAAAAATAATAAAATGTCTCCAGACATTGCCAAATGTCCCCTTGAGGGAAAATTGTCCTTTGTTGAGAACCACTGCTCTAGAGTTTTAGTTAACCTAATGTTACATATCATTTCTTTCAGCAGATATTTACTAAATGTTTCCTGTATGTAAATCATTGTTCTGGGAAATGAAATTAGACATCTCGATTTAAGCATACAGTTCTGAAATACATTTTGGCATATTCATATAATGAAAATTACTATGGCAGCATTAAAAATCATGGTTAGATTAATATTTACGACAGGGAAATATATCCATAAAATAATAAGTTGAAAAAGCAGACTACTAAATGTAGTGTTTTAAAAAAAATCCATTCACAGAGTGCATTTATACATAGACAAAAGTCTAGATGGATAGGCCCTGAAACTGTTAATTTTGGTTCTCTCCATGTGGTGGAATTTTGTATGCTCCCATTCTCCTCTGAAATTTTTTATGTGTTTTCTTAGTTTTTTTTACATTGAATATACGGGATTATGTAGAGGAGGTAATGGTTGATTTAGACTGAAAGATATACATGGAAAACTGTTTCAGAAAGAAGGGATAACATAGATGTAGAAAGGTTAAACTCCTTTTTTTTTTCTTCTTAAAGGTTTGAAATTGAAATTGAACCCATTTTTGCAAGTTTGGCTTTATATGATGTCAAGGAAAAGAAAAAGGTAAGAGTATATTGTTTGAACATCTTTTGTCACAATCCTTGGTTTCAGAAACTTGTTTTTAATTTTTTTTTCTTAAGATTTTATTTATTTATTTGACAGAGAGAGACACAACGAGAGAGGGAATATAAGCAGGGAGAGTGGGAGAGGGAGAACCACACTCCCTGCTGAGCAGGGAGCCCGACGCGGGGCTTAATCCCAGGACCCTGGGATCATGACCTGAGCTGAAGGCAGATGCTTAAC